TCGCCCTGCCGCCCCCGACCCCGCGAACGCCCCCCGGCGGTGGGAGCCGAGCGAGGTCGGGCTGAGGGCGCGGCGTCGCCGGGAGAGGCCCGGGCGGAGGGTGACTCACACCGGGAAGCGGGAGGCCGCTGGGCGGGGCGAGGCCCGGGGCCGCCTGCCCCAAGGGGAAGGCGCTGCGCCGAGGTCAAGGCCGGGGGCCGGGTCAGGCTCCTCACCCGGGCCCCCGGCCTACTCCAGGGGGTGCTCCAGGCGAAACAGCCCGGAGCCCGGGGGAGCCCGGGGGAGCCCGGGGTGCGGCGGCCGAGGCCCGGCACGGAGCCCGCTGCCCTTCCCGCCCGCCCGCGTTCCGGGGCCGCCTGTTCCTGCGCATCCCAAACGCCAGCGCCGCCCCCCGCCCCTCAGTCCCGAGCGCCCCGCAGAAGCAGGCGGGTGCCCGCGCTGTTGAAGGCTCGGTGACAGCAGCGATGAAGAGGAGAGGGAACTGCGCGCTGGGGACGGTCCCTTGCAGGAGACTGGGCAAGGCGCAGGAGACCCCCCACTTCGTCTCTCACAGCTGCTTACAGATTTACAGTCACCTCCACAGAAGCTTCATATTTTCTTTTTAAAGACGGAGTCTTGCTCTGTCGCCCAGCTGGAGTGCAGTGGTGCCATCTGGGTTCAGGGGAACCTCTGCCTCCCGGGTTCAAGCAATTATCCTGCCTCAGCCTCCCTAGTAGCTGGTATTGCAGGCGCCCACCACCGTGCCGGACTAATTTTATATTTTTAGTAGAGACTGGGTTTCACCATGTTGGTCAGGCTGGTTTTGAACTCCTGATCTCAAGTGATCCACCCACTTCGGCCTCCCAAAGTGCTGCTGGGATTACAGACGTGAGCCACCTTGCTCAGCCCACAATGATTTCATTTTAAAATGTTACCCAAGAAAGGAAATGTAATCATTGGACACCAGGTGGTTTAGCGATGAATCCTAGGTTCAGGGCCAGCACAGTCACCCGGTGCTCACGTGCGAGAGGGGACGCGGTTAGAGTCAATATGACTGACCACAACATATGCATGTTAGGAAATGGGAACTTGGAAAAGCAGATGGAACAGCCATGATTAATAAAGCCGAGCACCTGCCGGGCAGGCCAGGGTGCAGAGCGTGTCGCTGGAACTGCCGCTCCCGGTTAGGAGCCTTGCGCGAAGTTTGGGGCAGACGGGTTCTGCCGGCCTGAGCAGCCAGCCTGCATTAGTCCCTCAGCCACCACACTTCACACCTGTGTGAACTCAGTTCAACAACAAGCTCACTCAGCCACATTTGTGAGTGAGACCACAGCACCCTCCGTGTCACACACATTTCACTGATGGCTGCAGTCCCGTTGAGAACACACACAGCTTTGTGAGAGTGAGAGCACAGCACCGTCCGTGTCACACACATTTCACTGATGGCTACAGTCCTGTTCAGAACACACACAGCTTTGTAAGACTGAGACCACAGCACCCTCCCCGTCACACACATTTCACTGATGGCTACAGTCCCGTTCAGAACACACACAGCTTTGTGAGACTGAGACCACAGCACCCTCCCTGTCACACACATTTCAC